TGCAGCAGGTCAGTGGAGCGGAGGAAGGGGCCGGGGAAGCGGGATGCTGCTGCCCGCTGGGAGGGGGGTTTGGGTCCCTGGGGGAAAGGGCCCAGGCTGAGGTGCTGCACGAGGAGGAGGCGGCTGCTGCCTGAGGCACTGGGCTCCCCAAAGCCAGCTCTGTGCAGACCCTGCACCGCAGCTGAGCACCCACCTCTTATGTAAGGAGAGGCAGCGCAGCCACAGCGCACGCAGAGAATGACAAACTGCATGAGACCAAGGGCAGCTGAAGGGAGCGAAGGCCCTGGCTTGGGCTCTCTCAAAGCAGAGCCAATCATGTCATTTCAATCTATTCAAAGTAGCACAGGTACTGGGCAATTCATTTTATTTTAAGATGATTTGGGCATAAAGATACCCCCTGCTGCAGAGAAACTCAAAGCCAGATGTGACTGGAAGCTTAATATTTAGGAGACAGAGGGGAGAGCATTTCATTACACCTGGGATGCAGCTACACAGCACCCTAAACTGGAAAGAAGATACACAGCTTGTGCTTATTTGTATCTTCTTTTGAAATTTGGCACGTCTACACAGCTCCACGTTTCAAAATAATGCTCTGTGTTTGGGCCTTCCCTTATCCCTCATGCAACAAGGTTTAGTGGGATGGTGAAATAGTGCTCCTGTTGTTTTGAAAAATATTTCTAAATAACAGGCGGCTTGTGTAGATGCAGGGTAGCTATTTCGGGTTACCACTGGTATCCCAAAATAGCCATGCAGCATAGACATATCCTTGGGCTATTGGGCTATGTCTACCCTCGCGGCTTCTTGCGCAAGTACGGCTGTTCTTGTGCAAGAATCTGCAGAGCGTCCACACTGCCCGCCTGCTCTTGCGTAAGTACGTTTACAGTATGGCGTGGTAAGAGAAGGCTCCTTGCGCAAGAGCAATGCTCTTTTTTTAACAGGTGTAAGCCCTCTTGCGCAGGAGCTCTTGCACAAGAGGGCAGTGTGGACACTTGGCAGGGATTTCTTGCGCAAGAAAGCCCTATGGCTAAAATGGCCATCAGAGCTTTCTTGCGCAAGAGAGCGTCCACACTGCCATGGGCACTCTTGCGCAAAAGATGTCCTTGTGCAAGAAGCCGCTAGTGTATTCAAAGCCTTGGAGTTTGGCACTCTGCACTCAGTTACTTAGCCTGATTTTCAATAGGGATTTAAGTGAGCAGGTATGCAGAAATACATAGATTTGATTGCAAATGCCCTATTCTCAGGCATATAGCTAGGAGGTTAATGTGGAAGTTACATCCATTCGGTCCAGACCTTTGACTGCCTCCTGCTCTTTTTACATCATGTCTCAGTTTTCTCTAGGCCTTCTGAGGGGAGGAGGGGCAAAGGGAGCAATTGTGCTGGAGCTCCTGGCGGCTGATACTTCTGCTGCAACAGGAGCTGTGGTTGGACCTTCAAACCTCTTTGAATTGCTTCCAAAGCGCTGCTCCATGTAGCTCTGAGGGCTGGGAGCAAGGGGTGCTGGGGTTACCGTCCCAATCTATAGTATTCAGTTTTCCTATACACATTCTTAGATTTTATTCCTATGTTTTGGGTCATTCCCAACAAACATGGTTAAAGGTATCTTTCATTTTTCTCTCCAACATTAATTCAAGCATTCTTCATAGATTTTCTTTAACAGAAGGGCTGACTGCCCTTGGCCCTGCCCCTTCAACTCCAGACTCTACCTCCCCCTCTCCCAACTCTGCCCCTGGGCTCACCTTGGCTGTCAACCCCTCTGGTTTACTCAATTATCTAACTCAAAATCAGTTTGTTCAGGAGGCCCATTATATGCATTGTCTGGTAGGAGCCAGGTTGGTCTCCTGATACTTAAATGCTTAACTCTTCAGTCTTAACATTTACATAATACATTGCACTTTTATAGTACTCAAAATGCATTAGAATTCAGATGAAATGGCTAGCAAAGGTATGTACCAATTAACTCATTTAATTCCTGAAACCGATCTTAAGCAGTCTATAAGCCTTACGCTGCCTCTCTATACTAGGGATGTTAAATATCGGTTAATTGAATAGTCGATTAACCTCACAAATTCTTATCAGTTAGTCAACTATAGCCAGTCCCCGAATTGCAAACAGTCAACTTACGACCATTTGCGGTTACAACCAAAGCTGTTGTAAATGGCGGGCCCCGAGTTACGAACGCGATCCTCGCTTACGAACAGTGCGGTAACTCAATGGGGTCCGACTAACGAACGAACCGAGTTACGACCAATTGCTTGGTCCGTAACCGGTTCGTAAGTTGGAGAGAGGCTGTAGTCTATAGTCCCCAGGCAGCCCCTGTCCGGGTGGGAGGAGTTGGAGCTCCTGGACCCGGAACTAGCTAGAATTGAGCTCGGCTGCCTGCCCACCTGGCTCCTAATATACTTTAAATGCAGAGCTACAGTGGGGGTAGGTCCAGGCCCCAGTGCAAGCCAGGACTGAGCTAGGCTGCTGACCAGCCTGCTAAAAAATTATTGGCAAGGACCAGGGGAAAATGTGTGTAGTCTATAGCATTAACCTGTAACCTTTTGTTAATTGGTTAATCAACTACACTATTACGCCCCTGCTCTGAACCAGGGGTGAGCAATAATTTTTGAAAGGGGACCACTTAGTGAGTTTCTGAAGTAGTTGTGGGCTGCCCTGGAAGGGGTGAGGCCTGAGGCAGAAGGGGCAGGGCTGGGAGACTTTGAGTGCTCCCCTGCCCACAGATCCTGATTGGCTTGGGGGAGCATGTGAAGTCTTTGTCCCCCATCCTGCCAGGGGCACCCCATACCTAGGGAGAATCACCAGTTGTCTTGAAGAGCTGGCAGTTCTCTCTAAGGCACTGGCTGGGAGCCCTTGGCACTGTGAGGAGACTTCCTGTGCTCCCTCTGTCCCCAGACCTATCAGGGGATGCACTCCTCTCTCCCCCACCAAGAAAGGAAAGAATGAAGGAAGGAAAGAAGAAAGAATGCAGTAGCTTTGTGGGGGCTGAAGGGAGGTTTTCCCCTTAGTTTGAGAGGTACCTTGCCTCCCTTCCCCGTGCATCCCGGGGGAGTCTCTGGCTCCCCTGCCCAGGGTGCGCAGTTCCCTCTGGTGCTGTGCGCCCCTGGTAGGGAAAAGGAAATGTCACACACTTCCCCCACCTCCAGGCCAATCGGGGCCTTGGGGCGGGGGACCACGCAGTCTCTTGCACCCCACCCTACCAAAGTGCACACCTCCCTCCTGGGAGGGTGGGGCAAGTAGTGAGAGACTTCCAAAGTCTCCTCCCCCTGTGAGGGGTGCTTGGTTCCCTCTGAAGCCACAGGCCCCCGGAGGGGGAGAAGACTTTGTGTGCTTCTGTCAAGGTGGCCATGGGCCAGATCCGGCCGCTTGGCAGGCTGGATCCAGCCTGCTGTGCCCCCTTTGCCCACCCGTGCTCTACACAGAGATGAAGAGCATTCAGTCATGAAACAAAAGTAGGTAAATGTCCAGATTTCTGTTTTACAGGTGGGAAAACTGGAGCAGAGGAGTGTCTAGCCTAAATGTCACAAAGTAAGTGTGGGCCAAAGCTAAGAAAGAAACTCAGAATGATCTCATACATTCACAAGTAGATATAAAACAGTAGGAGTCAAGCTGCCTTCTCTTTACATTTGAAAACACCCTCTATAGCAGTGATGGGAAACCTGTGGCCCATGGGCTGCAATGCGGCCTACTGGGGTACTCTGTGTGGTCTGCGAGACATTTGTTTATCATTGCTCACAGAGTTGCCAAATTCCACTGATTTCCATCAATGTTGATTTTTCCCTACTAGTATTGCTAAAGTGACATACATCTAAAGCAAAGGTATGTAATGTGAGGTGTGCACTAATTACACTCATCGCACAGGCCCAAGTCATTTATGTCTGCATCCAAAGAGCTATTATGGTACAGTTGGCACACGCTGCAAATTCTAGATACGCAAGCGTAATTAGCAAGATTATCCTATTCCAGGAGATCATCTTGATGATGAAAATCTTGTGGTCCCTTGGGATGAAAAGGGCCACTCATGTAGTCCACTCACTAGCCTAAGTTGCCCATTGCTGCTCTATAGTCATACACATAAAAGAACATTAAGGTTGCAAAATCAAGCACTGCAAAGTTAAGAAATGTCATAGTTTAAGTTTGTCTGAGAGACCTTCATTTGGCTTCCTTGAACTTAATATACAGTTTCTTTTTTTGGACCAGTCCGATTCCTGCCCCTCCCACAAGCCTCCCAGTTGCAATCTCCCACATCCCAATCTAATCCCCCAGCTCCATCTTTTATCTCCTTTGGAGTTTTAAATCAGGAAGTTTCCTCCTCCATGCTGCCTAGGCCCCGTTGTAGAGGCACCAAGAGCGCTGGAAAGAAAATATTCCTGTTCTCAGTTCTGGTGCCTAGTTCCAATTGGGTCAGCAGCAGCCCAGACATACAATTGCAGGAATGTTTTTATCTGATGCAACAGTGTTTTTAGCTGTTAGATTCGAGGAAATCAGTATTGAGAATGTGCGAACAGCAAATTATATAGTCTTATAATATGGCTAAATTTGGATGGATTTTCACTGAAACAGTGAAAGGCACATGGCTGATGTAAAAGCTACTTCCCTACCAAATTTCATATCCCTTCTCCAAATATGGGGATGGTAGTGGTGCCTAAAACCCAAAGGTCACCAGAGATTATTTAATATGGACAGAATAACACATTTTTGATAGTCTCATTCTTTACAAATTGGCTGAATTGTTTGGTTGAAATAATAATAATAAAATATTTATAATAATAACTAGCTGGAGTTAGCTGGTATTGCTCAGTCCCGCTCCCCACTGGCCAATTTGCTCCGTCCCTGCCGCCAGCCCTGCTTCCTGCCAACCGATTCTCCTCTTCCTGATCTCCCCAGGCTAGCCCGCTCTCTCTGACCCCGCCCCTCCCAACAGCTCTGCTTCCCGCTGGCCACCACTCCCCTGTTCTCCCCTGGTTAGCCCCTCTGCCCCTGACACTCCTCCTTCCCCCAGCAACCAGCTCTGCTTCCCACTGGCTGCCCCTCTCCCGATCTTCCCCGGCCAGCCCCACTGCTCCCGGGCCCCTCCCCTTCCTCCCAGCCAGCCCCACTCCCCTCCTGGCTGGTTCCTCCCCCTCCCATCAAGTGTGGCCTTTTTTTTTTTCCCCCCCCAAGACTACCTGGTAAACGTAGCTGCGCAGGGCAGGGCAGATACCCGAGCTGTTGTGCGTGTGGGGGTGGGGCGAATCCTGGACGGTGCTTTGGGGCCGCATGACCTAGGGTGGGCGTGGCTGCCCCTGCAGCACAGCACGGCAGGGTATTTTTGATTTTTACAGGTTGAGATCAGGCCTGATCGGGTCCAATAGTACCTTAAAACCTTCTCCTGGAGGAAAGGTTATCCCATGGAAAGTTTAGTTGCGGTAGGTCGTATAGTGTCCAAGTTATTAGAGCACAAACATACAAACATTTTCCTTTATATATTAGATAATAATTAATAAATAAATCCAGACAGACCCAAACACCCTGATTTCAGTCCAAATGGTTAAAATGTGGCAAACCTATAAGTAACTGAAAACAGTGTCTTATAAAGAGAAGTGTTCAGCCATCTTAATTAGTGGAGCTACCACCTGGCCGATAGTGTTCAGTTTGTTATATGCATTGCTAGGTTTTATTCCTGTGCTTTGGGTCATTCTCAACAAAAATGGTTAAAGGTACCTTTCATTTTTCTCTCTCTATCACTAATTCAAGCTTTCTTCATAGATTTTCTTTAACAGAGGACTGTTTAATATTTTTGTGATACTTATTTTAAATTATCCTGTACATATGCTGTCCTTCAACACATTATGGATCCATATTATAGGAGAATTTCTGTGGCTATTTTTTTCTATTTTATCATAAAACTACATTTGTCTTCCATATCTGATTTAATAAGTTCACATTTTAGTATTTTGAAAGCTCTCATGTCTTATACAATTTATTCTCTGCAACCTTACACTTTGGCTACGTCTACACTGGCCCCTTTTCCGGAAGGGGCATGTAAATTTCAGCAGTCGTCGTAGGGAAATCCGCGGGGGATTTAAATATCCCCCGCGGCATTTAAATAAAAATGTCCGCCGCTTTTTTCCGGCTTTTAAAAAAGCCGTAAAAGAGCGTCTAGACTGGCCCCGATCCTCCGGAAAAAGCGCCTTTTTCCAGAGGCTCTTATTCCTACTTCAAAGTAGGAATAAGAGCCTCCGGAAAAGGGCGCTTTTTCCGGAGGATCGGGGCCAGTCTAGACGCTCTTTTCCGGCTTTTTTAAAAGCCGGAAAAAAGCGGCGGACATTTTTATTTAAATGCCGCGGGGGATATTTAAATCCCCCGCGGATTTCCCTACGACGACTGCTGAAATTTACATGCCCCTTCCGGAAAAGGGGCCAGTGTAGACGTAGCCTTTGTGTGGTTGTTCATATCTATGCAAATTTAGCACAAATTTGGTGTAAAATTGTATTTACTAAAAAACTGAAGACACATTTCAGTTGCCAGGAAAGTGGCCTCCTCTCCCAATGATGTCAAAAATCAAGAGATAAAATAAAGTTATTTAAAAAAATGAAAACATTACATAATTCTTGGTATTTGAAAGGATTAAAGAATTTGGGTTTGTTTGTTTTTTTTGTGAATAAGCTTTCAATTTTTGGGGGGAATTAAAATTGACAAGCTATTCAAAATGAGCCCAAATATTATGACTAAAGTATTGTATTTGTTGCATTCGTAGGTAAATAAAATGAAACACAAACAAATCACATTCTAATATAGTCAGTTAACAGTTCCACATACCCCATACTAAGCCACGTCTCAGAGGGCTCACTGTGTTAATCTGTAACTTAAAAAGGATTTGTCCTGTCACACCTCTCTAATATATATAAGCTTTCGTGGGCACATGACTCATCTGAAGAAGTGGGTTGTGCCCACAAAAGCTCATGATACTATGTATAGTTAGTCTCTATGGTGCAACAGGACCGTTCTAAGCATATTTTAAGCTCCTGTGTGTGCCGTAAAAAACTTTGGAAAGAAAGAAAGAAAATTAATATTGCAATTCAGCCTTCATTACATTTTTCATTTGAATGTGTTTTTCAAATCTCTTAAACCAGTAAAGCAAGGTCCTGCCAAGGGCTTGTCTGTAGGGGAATATTTTCCCCCTCTAATTATAGAGGTGCATTAAAGAGGTGGGATTGTGGCTATTCTCTGTATCTTGAGGGGTGAATGGTATTGGAACTGTCTCTCTTCCAGTCAGGGGAACCTAAAGTGTCTCCCAGTATCCTGTATCCACAATAATCCAGGGGTGCTGGAATATTTTTTTTTTATCATGGGGCTGCTGCTGGTGGAAACCATGTATTCGGTATTTGTTACTACTTCAAGTTGGAGGATGCAATACCACCCTTGTTCCAGCACCACTGAACCTATCTGCTTCTGCACCATGTCCAATATCTTTTCCTGTATTCTCTTTTCTTCATTTTCTGCCTTGACAATATCCCAGCCTTTCCCCTTTCTCCTCTCTTATTCTTTCCTTCCATCCCTGTTTGCCCTGTGCTAACTAAGACTCTGCATAAAGACGGCCGGCAAACATATTCGCCCTTGCCCTCTTTCTGTCCTGCCTCGCAGGCGCGGGAATTACAGAGCTGAGAGCGGGAGGAGCACACTCAACCCGGCTTCCCACCATGGGCCACCCTGGCTACTCGAGTCCCCAACTTCACCCGATACGCACGCTCGCTCTGTTCACGCCCCAGGGCTTCAGTAGGCAGCGCATGCTCACTTCTAGCCTGTATGGTCGACTTCAAAGCCTTTCGTTGTATCTCCGGCCATTGGGAGCGTGATGCGTCACAATACTCTCCTCTTCCAATCGGAAGCACGGCTCTGGAACAGAAGGGTGGGACCGGGTCGTCGTGGTGTTGTTACCGGAAGCGGCCGTTGTAAAGTTCTCTTCGAGCTGAGGGGAGGGGCAGCAGAGTGGATTTTTCTGGGGCACCTCTGGGTCCTAAAGCCCACCCAGTTCTATCCCCCCTTCCCATCTAGTCCAGACTCTGCCTGCCGGCCTGCTGCGCCCAGTCTGCTCTCCGCAGAGGTGGGAGGTAGAGGGGACGGGGGGAGAGGGGTGGTGGAGCGGGAGCAGGGGGAGAAGGGGACTGGTGGGAGAGAGGTGGCTGGGGGGGAGCGGGTTTATGGGGAGGGGGTGCTGGAGACTGGTTGAGCAGGGGACGGGGAGGGACAGAGGGTGAGAGGGGGCGGCATTATCTAGGTACAAATGTGCCATTTCTTTGTAATTTCTGTGTGGCTGAGGATCCTGCGCCCCAGCGCCTCTTTTCCTCATCAAATACGCTTCGGATTTGGTGGCTTTCAGATGCGGATCGTGCCTCTCATTCTGAGTGTCCTAATTCCGAAGTGTTTTTTCTAGTTGTAAACATATTACCCTTTTCAAATGCAGCCACTTCTGGGGTGGCAGGCAACAAGTTGGTGCATAGAATAGCGAAAGAAGGAGAAAACAGCAGTGGGCGCCCTTGTGTTTTCAGGGAGTTGTTAGACTACTGAGCACTTCCTTCCAGTAAAGTGGAGATTTCTTGTAGCTGGATTATAGACAAAAGCAGTGAAACTCTGGATGTGTATCAGTTCAGAACTTGTTTTCCTAAAATGTTTTTGTACTCAATAGAAAACTAAATAGCAAATTCTAATCGGTGTAAGGCCAGGGGCTGCTTCTTGTTGTGAGTTTTGTATACATTACAAATATTCCTAAAAAAACCCCAACCTGGTCATTCTTAGAATGTTCATTGCATATTTGCAGAAAACTGTTCTCATTTTGTATGATTTTGTATCCGAGTGCTCTGGCTTAGGGATGTAAATGATTAACGGATAAGCAAAAGCTTATTGGTTAATGCTATAGACTACATGTCCCTCCTCTCTCCCCCAGTAATTTTGTTAGCAGGCTGGCCAGCAGCCCAGCGCAGTCCCAGATTGTGCCAGGTCCAGGACCTACCCATACTGTGGCTCTGCATTTAAAGTGTATTAGGAGGCAGGCAGGCAGCCCAGTTCAGTTCCAGCTCGCACCGGGCCTGGGAGCTCAGACCCGGCCTTGACAGGGGCTGCTGCCACCCCATGTTAACTGTCTCTGTATCAGGGGCTGAAGCGTGGGGCAACAAGCAACCGGTCCACGAGGGGAGATGGTTTTTAACCTGGCTCCCCTCGCAGACTAGCTCCCACCTTGCACCCTAGGTTGCTGTCTCTCATACAGAGGCAGCAGTGTGGAGTGGCAGGGCGCTCCTCAGGAGCGGGGCCAGAGCACACTGGCTGCCGGCCCCACCCCCAGGGACTATAGAATCCTTGAGTAACTGATAAGAATTCCTGAGGCTAATCGACTATTTAATTAACCAATATTTAACATCCCTACTTCAGATTTGAATGTCTGAGGCTCAGAAAACTGCAAACGAGATCTGGCTGTGAAATTGAATGTACACAGAAGTAGCAAGAGAGCTTTATTTATTTATATGTTTTACTAGAAAATTGACCTAGCATTGATCAGGTCCTTCAAGGCAGGAGTCTGGGGATGTGGAGGGTGCAGGAGTCAGGGCAGTGAGTGGGGGTCTCAGGAAAGGGTTGGAGGCAGCAAAGGGCTGCTCCCTGGGACTGCTGGGGCTGCACTGCCTGGCAGGCTACTGCTCTGCAGCTCTCTGGTGCTTTCTGAGTAGCAGGGGTGTGCTTGCTTGCTACCCCTTATGGTCATTCTCGAGTATAACTGTCACTGCTGTCACTGCCCTCCCTTTCTGTTTGATAAGAAACAATTGCATTTCACACACATTCCATTGTCCTAGCACAATCAAACCATTACTTTGCTTTAAGAGATGGTAAAGAGAAAGCTGCATATCAAATTTGGTAGTCCTAGCTCTTACCATTTAGGAGGAGTTTTTGAACATACAGACTCACATAGACAGATGTGCAGACAGATGCAAAAAATTCTCAAATATATAGTAGATGTTATATTATATATTTGGTTGGGAAAACTCTGATTCTTGTTATGTCTAGATATTAATGATGTACCATTTTGAACAATTACTAAAATTCAAAAGATATTAGGTTATTTTGCTTTATTTAAAGGGATGCTGTTATTAACATAACATAAAAACAAATTCTGTGCCTTTGTCACTTACCTTTGGATTATTAAGAGATTAACCTTTTAGTACTGTTATTATTTATTATTTGTATTACTGTGATGCTGAGGACCCGGTAGCAGTAGGTACCATACAAACCCAGAACTAAAAGATGGTTCCTGTCCTTAAGGGTATACAAACTAATTATAAAACAATGGATGAATATAGACACATGGGTAGTGAGACAATATTGGTCAGCATAATATACAGTCATTTCAGTACACCAGCAGACTGCTGTCAAATTTTGTGTACGTATCCTGGCCAAAGAATTTTAAGGAGGAATTTGAAGGTGGATAATGAGATTTAGGGATGTTAAATTGTGTGTAATCAGCTAATTGATTAGTCGATAAGGGGGGGAACTGCAGACCACAGCAGGGTTAACTCCCACCCCGGGAACTAACCCCACTTCAGCTCTGCCTCTTAAATGTATTAAGAGCCGCCCAGCTCTTAATACATTTAAAAGGCAGAGGCGTAGCAGGGTGCCTGGGTGCAAGCAGGGAATCAACTGATTCCTGACTTCTACCTGGTCCCCCTTGCTGTGCCTCTGCTTTTCAAATGTATTAAAAAGGTGTTTCCCCCCAGCACCATTTGGGGGAACAGAGGAGGCAGAGGCATAGCTGGGACCGGGCGCAAGCCGGGAATCAGCTGATGCCTGGCTCCTGCCCGGTCCCCACTCAGTGCACCTCTGCTTTTTAAACATATTAAGAGCTTTGAAATTCCATTGACTACTCGATTAGCTAATTAAATGCAATTTAACATCCTTAGTATCTATATTGTGACTTTGTAGGTCTAAGGTATTTTTTTATAGAGGGATGCAATCTGGGGAAATGGAGGGATACAGTCTACAAAGAGATAATTTTGTATGTTTCACTCTCTTTCTGTTAGAAATGTAGTCTCAAACATGCTTTTCCGCTTATTAGGAAATGCAGTTTTCCAGCTGGCATCAGCGGAGCTCTGTCTGGTAGTAAATGTTAGCCTGACTGAGCCTCCTAAAGTTTAAATTGTTTGTTTACTATTTGTGAGTAAATACCAATGGTTCCTTTTACAATGAGATATAAACTGCCCTCTTTTATATTGTTATAGGTTTTAACGTATCCATATAATGCAAAGAGAAGAATAATCTTTGAAATGGTCTCAGTTTCTGTAAAGGAATATAATTGAAAATTATGCTCGTTATAAAGCTGACGATTCATCATCATGAATTCTATCTCACCGATCAGTTATACTATTCCTGAAATCAAACGGTGAGCTTAAGTTCCTTATATTAAAATCCACTAATATATATTGTCTTTCTGTGGAAATTTTTAATTCATATGGCAGCTTGGAGGTAAGTCATTCCAAAATAAAACAACTTAAAACATACATATAATCAGGGCTTGACAAACCCCAGAGAGAGCTACTCACCAGTCCCGCACCACGCATGCGCCAGACTGGCCCTGCGCACGCGCGAAGCGCCAGTGAATGGGGTGCACGGAGCGATCGGCTGAAATCTACTCGTCATGGGCGAGTAGATTCAGCGGTTTGTTGAGCCCTGCATATAATCTTATACAGCTTGTTTGAGAACAGCAGGCCAGAAGGCATGAATGATATCTCTAATAAAGCATAAGAAATGCTAAGAAAGAACAGAAGGATATAAAAAGAAAAAAGGCTGTGAGATGGAACGGGTCATCAGATATAGTTAGGAGCATTTGCACTGGGTTACAGAAGTCTTTCATTTTCTGGACAAGACAGCATTTGGTTACACTTTCTATAACTTTTTCAGTTGTAGGACTAGTTCTAGAAACTTGGGTATTGAAGGGAAGAATCTGTTCAGGGAGATTGTGTGCTGAATTGAAACTTTGTGTTTCTGAAAACTTTCTGAAGTATGTCCCATGGGTATGAAGGTCTTCAAATTCACAGATGGAAATTCTGTCAGCATCTTTGCAGTGTATTGCCATGCAGGGGTGATTTGGGGAAGGAATCAAATAGTTGGCATAAATGACCTTTGTGTTGATAAATTAGGCTATGGTATAGCTGCATTTGACAGTTTTTGGATGTAATTTTCAGGAGTAGTCAACACCACCTTTAAAAATTTCAGCCTTTAGTTTATAGTTAAATAAATTATTGCCCTTTTGGAAACCACATAGTTTTCTGGTTTCTCAAGTACTTCCAATTGCGGGGCGCTCCTCAGGAGCGGGGCCAGAGCACACTGGCTGCCGGCCCCACCCCCAGGGACTATAGAATCCTTGAGTAACTGATAAGAATTCCTGAGGCTAATCGACTATTTAATTAACCAATATTTAACATCCCTACTTCAGATTTGAATGTCTGAGGCTCAGAAAACTGCAAACGAGATCTGGCTGTGAAATTGAATGTACACAGAAGTAGCAAGAGAGCTTTATTTATTTATATGTTTTACTAGAAAATTGACCTAGCATTGATCAGGTCCTTCAAGGCAGGAGTCTGGGGATGTGGAGGGTGCAGGAGTCAGGGCAGTGAGTGGGGGTCTCAGGAAAGGGTTGGAGGCAGCCAATGGCTGCTCCCTGGGACTGCTGGGGCTGCACTGCCTGGCAGGCTACTGCTCTGCAGCTCTCTGGTGCTTTCTGAGTAGCAGGGGTGTGCTTGCTTGCTACCCCTTATGGTCATTCTCGAGTATAACTGTTGGAGGCAGCCAATGGCTGCTCCCTGGGACTGCTGGGGCTGCACTGCCTGGCAGGCTACTGCTCTGCAGCTCTCTGGTGCTTTCTGAGTAGCAGGGGTGTGCTTGCTTGCTACCCCTTATGGTCATTCTCGAGTATAACTGTCACTGCTGTCACTGCCCTCCCTTTCTGTTTGATAAGAAACAATTGCATTTCACACACATTCCATTGTCCTAGCACAATCAAACCATTACTTTGCTTTAAGAGATGGTAAAGAGAAAGCTGCATATCAAATTTGGTAGTCCTAGCTCTTACCATTTAGGAGGAGTTTTTGAACATACAGACTCACATAGACAGATGTGCAGACAGATGCAAAAAATTCTCAAATATATAGTAGATGTTATATTATATATTTGGTTGGGAAAACTCTGATTCTTGTTATGTCTAGATATTAATGATGTACCATTTTGAACAATTACTAAAATTCAAAAGATATTAGGTTATTTTGCTTTATTTAAAGGGATGCTGTTATTAACATAACATAAAAACAAAGTCTGTGCCTTTGTCACTTACCTTTGGATTATTAAGAGATTAACCTTTTAGTACTGTTATTATTTATTATTTGTATTACTGTGATGCTGAGGACCCGGTAGCAGTAGGTACCATACAAACCCAGAACTAAAAGATGGTTCCTGTCCTTAAGGGTATACAAACTAATTATAAAACAATGGATGAATATAGACACATGGGTAGTGAGACAATATTGGTCAGCATAATATACAGTCATTTCAGTACACCAGCAGACTGCTGTCAAATTTTGTGTACGTATCCTGGCCAAAGAATTTTAAGGAGGAATTTGAAGGTGGATAATGAGATTTAGGGATGTTAAATTGTGTGTAATCAGCTAATTGATTAGTCAATAAGGGGGGAACTGCAGACCACAGCAGGGTTAACTCCCACCCCGGGAACTAACCCCACTTCAGCTCTGCCTCTTAAATTTATTAAGAGCCACCCAGCTCTTAATACATTTAAAAGGCAGAGGGGTGGCAGGGTGCCTGGGTGCAAGCAGGGAATCAACTGATTCCTGACTTCTACCTGGTCCCCCTTGCTGTGCCTCTGCTTTTCAAATGTATTAAAAAGGTGTTTCCCTCCAGCACCATTTGGGGGAACAGAGGAGGCAGAGGCATAGCTGGGACCGGGCGCAAGCCGGGAATCAGCTGATGCCTGGCTCCTGCCCGGTCCCCACTCAGCAAGCCGGGAATCAGCTGATGCCTGGCTCCTGCCCGGTCCCCACCCACTGCACCTTTGCTTTTTAAACATATTAAGAGCTTGGAAATTCCATTGACTACTCGATTAGCTAATTAAATGCAATTTAACATCCTTAGTATCTATATTGTGACTTTGTAGGTCTAAGGTATTTTTTTATAGAGGGATGCTATCTGGGGAAATGGAGGGATACAGTCTACAAAGAGATAATTTTGTATGTTTCACTCTCTTTCTGTTAGAAATGTAGTCTCAAACATGCTTTTCCGCTTATTAGGAAATGCAGTTTTCCAGCTGGCATCAGCGGAGCTCTGTCTGGTAGTAAATGTTAGCCTGACTGAGCCTCCTAAAGTTTAAATTGTTTGTTTACTATTTGTGAGTAAATACCAATGGTTCCTTTTACAATGAGATATAAACTGCCCTCTTTTATATTGTTATAGGTTTTAACGTATCCATATAATGCAAAGAGAAGAATAATCTTTGAAATGGTCTCAGTTTCTGTAAAGGAATATAATTGAAAATTATGCTCGTTATAAAGCTGACGATTCATCATCATGAATTCTATCTCACCGATCAGTTATACTATTCCTGAAATCAAACGGTGAGCTTAAGTTCCTTATATTAAAATCCACTAATATATATTGTCTTTCTGTGGAAATTTTTAATTCATATGGCAATTTGGAGGTAAGTCATTCCAAAATAAAACAACTTAAAACATACATATAATCAGGGCTTGACAAACCCCAGAGAGAGCTACTCACCAGTCCCGCACCACGCATGCGCCAGACTGGCACTGCGCACGCGCGAAGCGCCAGTGAATGGGGTGCACGGAGCGATCGGCTGAAATCTACTCGTCATGGGCGAGTAGATTCAGCGGTTTGTTGAGCCCTGCATATAATCTTATACAGCTTGTTTGAGAACAGCAGGCCAGAAGGCATGAATGATATCTCTAATAAAGCATAAGAAATGCTAAGAAAGAACAGAAGGATATAAAAAGAAAAAAGGCTGTGAGATGGAACGGGTCATCAGATATAGTTAGGAGCATTTGCACTGGGTTACAGAAGTCTTTCATTTTCTGGACAAGACAGCATTTGGTTACACTTTCTATAACTTTTTCAGTTGTAGGACTAGTTCTAGAAACTTGGGTATTGAAGGGAAGAATCTGTTCAGGGAGATTGTGTGCTGAATTGAAACTTTGTGTTTCTGAAAACTTTCTGAAGTATGTCCCATGGGTATGAAGGTCTTCAAATTCACAGATGGAAATTCTGTCAGCATCTTTGCAGTGTATTGCCATGCAGGGGTGATTTGGGGAAGGAATCAAATAGTTGGCATAAATGACCTTTGTGTTGATAAATTAGGCTATGGTATAGCTGCATTTGACAGTTTTTGGATGTAATTTTCAGGAGTAGTCAACACCACCTTTAAAAATTTCAGCCTTTAGTTTATAGTTAAATAAATTATTGCCCTTTTGGAAACCACATAGTTTTCTGGTTTCTCAAGTACTTCCAATTGGTTAATTAGAACAAGTGGGATGCACAATCGCTTTTTTTTTTAATGCACGCTATGGAAAGGAGAGAAGAAGGCTGCCTTATGCAGATTTATGGATATGGCCTTTATCACTCACATCAATGCTTTTGCTTTTCTTGAGTATACGGTGTCTTGAAACAATAGTGTCATTAGCGAGAACATTGTTTCATTCTAGTGATATTGATCCTAAGCACTAGCTGTTACCATTTAAAACCCAACAGTATATGATTCCTAATTGTTTTGGCAGAGGTAACAGAATTCTGTGGTAAACTCTTTATCCTTGAAACATTATCTATGTTAGATTAAATTTTTGAACATAATTTATGGTTAGGATAGGTATGCAGAATCCTCCTTTGGCTATACAAGTTTAGAAAAATCTTAAAGCCAATTAACAAGTGGAAGAAAAATCAATCTCTTAGGGTATGTATACACAGCAGTGTTATTTCAGAATGACATAGGGCATATCTACGCTACAAGTTGTTATTTTAAAGTAATGTCGATCTGGAGGATTTCTTACTCCAACTCATGGTAACCCTCATTTCATAAGGAGTAAGGGAAGTTGAAAGAAGAGTGCTCTTCCTTCGATTTCCTGCTGTGTAGACAGCACCAAAAGCAGAATTAAGTTATTTCGATTTAAACTATTCAGTTGATGTAGCTGAAGTTGCATAGTTTAATTCGACTTTAGCCCTGCTGTGTAGATGTACCCTTAGTTGTGGCATAATTATAATTGCACAACTTTATTTTATCAGGTGTGATGACAAACCCTAAGACAACTTTTACAATATTGTAACCAATATGATTGCAGTACGCAAGTGAACTTTAAAGTCAGCATATTGATTTGCTGAATTGCCCATGTTTAAATTTTCATTACCTAGCTACTTCATCTGCTCTTATTTTTCTTAAAGAATATTAGAGACAGTGTGAGGGATGGCATTTTATATATGATTTTGGTAAAAGAATACTTTCATAGTGAGATTATCCATCAGGAATATTAAATAATAGAAGAACACTTTTGAACAAGGCTGTACAGTCATCTCACTTACATTTATGATAACTACAAACAGCTTCTGTTTATTCTAATAAAAGTCCATTGTGTGTGTATTGAGCCTTATCACTTACATATGCTTTAGTTATCTCTTCTAGTTATTGTTATGGTTTGTCAGAATCCTCTGTTCATCATATGTATATGTACAGTAAAACTCCCAATTGTCTGGCATCCAGTGCTCACCGGGACCCCGGAAGTGCTCTGGCCAGCCGAACAATTGGAGCTGCTGTGAGCCCCATGGGCACTCATGGCTGGGAAAGGGAAGGGGAGGAGAGGGGAAGGGGATTACACCCCTGTGACGGGTCTGCTGGGACCCGCACTGTGACTGGCCTGGGGCTGGGGGGTGGGCGGGGAATGGCATGGTGAGGGGCGAACCCTCCCCCATTTTGCAGGAAGGTGGGAGAAGCCCCATGCAGCCGCCGAGAGTTTCCGGGAGGGGAGCGGGCTCCCCACCCCCCAGACTGCAGTAGTTATCGCAGAGCAGGGGATGGGGGGGGGAGCACTGTGGGACCAACCTGGCAGCACCCCAGCTGCTCTGTCCTGCAGCTTCCCTAAGTCTGCCACTTGTCAGTTTCAGCAGCGGCAGTGGGGGACTTGGGGAAGTGGTGCAGAGCAGAGCAGCTGGGGTGCTGCCGGGCACCGAGCAGGGGGGTGAAGGGCAGTGCTGCGGGACCAACCCGGCAGCACCCCAGCTGCTCTGCTCTGCACCTTCCCACTCGTCAGTTTCAGCAGCAGCGGACTTGGGTAAGCGGCGTGGAGCAGAGCAGCTGGGGTGCTGCCGGGTTGGTCCCACAGTGCTCCCCCCCCCATCCCCTGCTCTGCGATAACTACTGCAGTCTGGGGGGTGGAGAGCTCGCTCCCCTCCCGGAAACTCGCGGCGGTGGCGCGGGACTTCCTCCGCCTTCCTGCAAAACAGCGGAGGGTTTGCCCCTTGCTGCGCCGTTCCTGCCCACCCGCCAGACACAGTGCGGGTCCTGGCAGACCAGTCACAGCCCTCTGCCAGAGTACCTCCCGATACTCCAGCATATTCGATAATCCGGCACCATTTAGGTCCCAAAAGTGCCGGATTATCAGAAGTCTACTGTACTAGGAATAGCTCTCACATAGGGTGCAAAATATCAGAATGTGTAAAATATCAGAATACTGGATACTCTGCCATTGTTCTTGTGATTTCCTTGTGTGCCTGAGGCAGGAATGTAAGAGTTTAATCATTTAACTGGTTAACCAATAAGTATTAGCTTATTGTTTTCCTTTACGGTTAATCATTTAACTGGTTAACCAATAAGCATTAGCTTATTGTTTTCCTTTACGATTAATCTTTTCTGTGCTAGCGTGTGCTGACTCCTGGGGAGCTGGCTGCCACCCAGTGCTGCAAGCTCTACAGTATAAGAGAGTCCAAATTTAAGTTTGTACTGCCTGCAATCATCAAGGTTTTGCAAAGTTCCTCCCAGTTGCTCTTCTATTTCTACCCTCCTTACTACTACTTGATTTTCCTCTACACTCCAAGCTGCTTCTTATAATGACTGTGAAATGTGGCATAATTGAATATAACACATTTTAAAGTTATTTTATTTTTAGCTACATTATGAATTTCTTGTCACCGTGCTTTGTTTCTTAACTAATTTTTACCTTCTTTCTGTTGATTCCTTTGGGTATAGCTCCCATAGTAATACTATATGTCTGTTGTGGTTCTGTTGCAATAAATCTAGGTGCAATTTCACAAATGCTAATTATTCTTCTGGGTGAAATTCACTTAATAAACATGAGAGAGAATGATCTATGACACGAACAATTGGCCTGGTTTCACATAAAAGCAGTGGTCACTGTGATATAGACACAATATAAACATTAGATCTTAAATATATATGGGATACTGTCAAGACAATTAAATTCGTAATAGATTATTGACTAAATTATTCATAATGCCTTGAAACAATTAAAGTTGACAATGTTTTAAAAAAACAACTTATTGTTTACCCTTTATTCTATTTTTGTTTTTCATGTTCTCAGGTTGGATGACAGCATTATTCTAATAAATGTCTCTTTCTGGTTCTCATTTAGTGGAAACTGTAATTTAGTGTTTGATAAACAATACTACAGGATAATGTTTATTTTTAAATTTAAAACTACAGCAGTTTTTGTGATACTCTTTAATACTTCTTTTAAGTTAAAATATACAAACCATTGGTGTTGTTAATTGTGTGGAAAATCACACAGACTTTTGTAAGTCACTTTGGAGGAAACCAGGTTTTTTTTTTCATATGTGGCATGGCCTCCATTTAAAGTCTATTTTATTTATAATTGTCTTGGTTGTGTACATTTTTGTACACAAAAAAGTAGCTTTTTTTCAAAAAAAATTTCACCTGAGTCTAGACTGCAGCAGGGTTCTTTCAAAAGTAAAACGAAAGAATGTGGCAGTTTTTTCGATCGCAGCAAACCTCATTTTATGAGGAATAATGCCTTTTTTCGAAAGTACTCCTTTGAAAAAAGGCGCTATTGAATGCAAACTGTGCTTTTTCGAAAGAGCATCTAGACTCTTTCAAAAAAGCGGCTCGCTTTTTTGAAAAATCTGGTTGTAGTCTAGACGCTCTCTTTCGAAAGAGGCTTTTTCGAAAGATTTTTTTCAAAAAAGCCTCTTTCAAAAGAGGCTTGTAATCTAGATGTAGTCTCAACAAGCCAAAATAACGGAGATCTGCTGGTTCTCTTTTTAAATGGTAAGGTTTACGCCTTTGCAGTGTCCTTCTAACATTTAATCAAATCAGCACCAATTAAAATTGATATAAACAGGGAAGCAATGATCGTTAAAATAGACTTCTGTTTTGCAGCCTACACTGTATCCAGAGTGAGCTGAGAATAGTGCAAAATAGTGGTCAGTCAGAGCTAGATGTTACTGAAGATCTGAGAAGGAAGCTTCATCAAGCCAAAAAAGAAAAACTGGACATAACCACTAAACATAATCAAGATGTAAGTTTTTATTCATAGAAAAAAATCAGTATTTGAAATTAAAGTACTCTTAGGCACTACTGCCTGTACTTTAGAGAATTCACTTCTTGTAAAAATAAGAAGAGAAGAGAAATTACATAGCAGTGCTCACTTCATATCTCTTGCAATTGACCCTGATTTTGCATTTTGGAGAACTGATGTGTGTATCGGTGGGGTTGCTGTCAGGAGGTAGCAATGGAGTCTGGTTATTTAAAAGGCACAGAACTGCTGGATCCTTTAAATCAGGGGTCAACAAACTACATCAAAATTCAGAACAAGTGGTCAACAAAGGGCTGTATAAGAATGTCCATTTGCATGACTGCATTATTATTGATAATTGACATAATGATTAACAATAGTATAAATAAAACCTTTTACTCACAGACTTGATTTAATGGGACTTCTGCTGCTGCATTTTTTCGCACATTCCTTTGAAGTTTACATCATAACTGGTCAAATCCAGCTTCATGCAGGGGTATAGGATCTGGGCAGGATGTGGGGTATACGAGGAGGTGAGGGTGCGAGGTCTGGGTGAGAGGCAGGCTGGGAGTAGGGTGTTTGCCCAGGAGGAGGGGGCAGGAGCAAGGAGTTCTTGGGCTCACAGACAGACAGAAAGACTCACATATCTACGATTGTATATCTATAATATATATACATTAATAAAGTTTCTGAAACCTATTTCTCTTCTAGCTGTCCAACTATGAAAGCCAGATTGCCAGGTTGCGATCTGAAGTTGAGAAAGGAGAAGCCATTCGACAAAGTCTGGAATATGAACTGGTCATTGCCAGAAAAGATGCTGGTCTTCAAAGATACTCTGCAGAAGAAAATTTATGTGAAGCCAACAATCAACTTCAGCAGATGCAAGGTATGTTTAGAAAACTTTATATGCTCAGCAATGAGTAAATATTTTAATTCAGAGCCTCTGTATTGAGAGTCAAGCAGACAGTGACTTAATTTGGTTTGCTAGTCATCACTAGTTTGGTTTGATTTGAGCTCTACCATATATTTCCTGTCTCCTCTCCAGCTCCCTTTGTGAAACTCTCTTGGATCTCCCATTACCAAATTAAACATACTAAAACTGTCCTCTCCATTCCCCACTTCCAAACAACATTCCTTTGAAATGTCCTTTGAAATGTCACAATCAAATTCTCTTTCCTCCTTCTTGTCCAGGTACACGACCTTGATGGTGTTTGACTCCTTTTTTCCTTCTCTCCCCACATCCAGGTTGTTGCTCTATCTTCCTGTTCTTTCTTTCTTCTCTATTTCTATGGTAGAAATCTTGCCCCATGCCTGGTTATTTCTCTAGCCTATCTGTATCTCACTTAACACTCTATAAAAACGTCTCCTCTTTCTTACCTCCAACTCTAATAATGAGTTGCAGTTTGGTAACGCTTCCCAAACTAAACACTCATCAGATTGTTGTGTTTCAGTCCCACCATGCTAGACTTGTGTGTTTTATTCATAAGCTCTAGAACAGGCTCTTTTCTTGGCCTCTGGCTCACTTCCTGAATAGTCGATTAACCTAATTAATTCTTATTGGTTACTCAACTATTTTATAGTCCCTGGCGGTGGGGCCGGCAGCCAGTGTGCTTCAGTCCCACTCCTGAGGAGCTACCTGACACTCAACACTACTGTCTCTGTATGGCAAGACCTGGCCTGCGAGAGGAGCCACTTAAAAAACCAGCTCCCCTTGCGGACTAGTACAGAAGCAGCAGCATGGGGTGGCAGCGGCCTCTGTTGCAGGGAAGTGGGAGGGTGGCACTGAGTGCCCGGACCTGGTGTGAGCTGGAACTGAGCTGAGCTGCTGGCCAGCCTGCTGAAAATTTACTGGTGGGGAGGAAATGTGTGTAGTCTATAACATTAATCTATAAACTTTTGCGTATCGGTTAATTGACTACACCATTAAATCCCTAGTCTAGACTAGTTGTAATTGCCATCATCATCATCTCCATCTCTCCCCCCCCCATCTTTTTTTGATTTCCTCCTGTCCTCTTTGTCGAGTAACCCATTCATCAACCTCATCAGATGGCCATAGTCTCCCAGCAAGTGCTCCATTCCTTAATTACCAACGCACCTGCAGTTCTGACTTGAAAAATTGGTTTGCTCTGGGCATTAGACATTTTTTTTGTCTAAGGGTAAACAATTTGAATTGATCATCATCAAGGTTTAGTTCCATTTTCTGCCCAATGTCACTACCCCTTGGAATTTCACCCGAAGATGAAGATAAAAAGACAGCAGAGAAAGCACAGACTATGCAATCAAAAGGGAGTTTGTAGTTTGATATAGACATACATATGGAAGGTTCACAATATCAAACATCGACTGTACATAGAGTTCTCAAGCATCACATAACATTCCTCTCTTTGAATCTTTCCTTTGTTTGGTGCAAGAAGTTTAAACTTTTCCTAGTGTGTGTGTCAGCTGTCCTTTTCAACTTCTTTTCCTCCTATTCTTTATTCTCCTTCTCCTTACATGTTACAGGTAACCTACAACGTTTTTTAAAAAACGGGATTTGTGCTCTTTTTCTTTACTTGTCACGTGTGAAGGACTTGAGAATGGTGTGTGTGTTAATGAAGCATTTTTCTACTTGTTTTTATACGGTAGAGTAGACATTCAGGTCTTATATACTCTGAAATTCAGGTTTTATACACTGAGGCTATGTCTACATTGGCCCCTTTTCCGGAAGGGGCATGTTAATTTCACGAGTCGTAATAGGGAAATCCGCGGGGGATTTAAATATCCCCCGCGGCATTTAAATAAAAATGTCCGCCGCTTTGTACTTTGAAGTAGGAATAAGTTCCTCCAGAAAAGGGCGCTTTTTCCGGAGGATCGGGGCCAGTGTAGACGCTCTTTTCCGGCTTTTCTAAAAGCCGGAAAAAAGCGGCGGACATTTTTATTTAAATGCCGCGGGGGATATTTAAATCCCTCGCGGATTTCCCTATTATGACTCGTGAAATTAACATACCCCTTCCGGAAAAGGGGCCAATGTAGACGAGCCCTGAGTGGATCAGTGAAGAATTGGTAGGTTTAGGATTAAAATAGGAAGTGATTTGTTTTTGTTAAACACTACTTTTTTAGTAAAACATGTCTGTGTTAAAGGTTCAGCATTTAGTGAAGGACCTAGAATGCTCTTACTACATATTTTTGAGATTTCAAAGAAAGACAATGAGA